CGTAATTCAAGGTTTACATCCAAGCAGCCTTGTTCTGGGTCCAGGTTCATCAAGCAACTTCAGCTTCACATGAACTTGCTCGCTGAGACAACGGGCTGTTCGATCAATCTTTACATCTGGTCTGCTCGACATTACGTTCTATTCCTCAGTGTCACTGGCATCCAGGTATACTCTCCTTGTGTTCTTAGCCACACTGAGGCATCTTTCTAGAAATGACTCAGTGCTGGGGAACTAAACTTATTTTTTTAAAGATTTTATTTATTTATTTTTTTAGAGAGGGAAGGGAGGGAGAAAGAGAGAGAGAGAGAGAAACATCAATGTGCGGTTGCTGGGGGTCATGGCCTGTAACCTAGGCATGTGCCCTGACTGGGAATCGAACATGGGACACTTTGGTTCGCAGCCCGCGCTCAATCCACTGAGCTACGCCAGCCAGGGGGAACTAAACTTATTGAAGACCAAGGCTGAAGGCCTCACCCTGAGGCACGGAGCATTCACACCACAGGAGACCTCTTGGGGGAAAGCCAGCCAGCCTTCCCAAGCTGGCACCCCCTTTCTCTGTGCCTGACTTCGACTTACACAGTCTTAAAAATGTTATCTAAACATTTTAATCCTGTGTTGCTGTTTTACTCTCTGAGAATTCGTGTGTCTCAGGTCCCTGACCATAACATGAGCTCTTGAAGATAAACTCTTCCAGTGCTGAAGGGCACAACTCAGAAGATGGTTACACCGCTGACCTCCAAGGAGCCATGCCTCCTGGTATTCAACCCCCTGTGGAATCCCCTCCCGCAGTGACTCTGCCCTTAGTGCGCCCTTGCTTCAGCCAGTGGGGCGTTAGCAAGCAGGGGTCAAGTTGAAGCTTGATGAGCACTTCCCCTCTTGGAACCCAGCTGCCCTGTAAAGAAGTTAAGGCTAGACTACTGAGTGATGATGGAGAGAAGTCCTGGCCTTTCCACAGTCCCTGCCAGGACCCCGGATATATGGGCGCAGCCATCTGAGACTCTCCAGCCAACCCACAAGCTGCGTGAGTGAGATGCTGCCTTGCTCTGGAAAGAATCTTCCTCTAGGTGCTGTCCTGCTAGGATGTGAAGAATTGCCACAGCCATGTTCTGACCGCAAGTGGAGCTTCTGAAGAACAAAGCCCGCATGCTGAGGAAAGGAAAATGGAGAGAAAAAAGAACCTGGACCCTTGAGGGCCCTGGCTGGTGTAGCTCAGTGGATTGAACTCGGGCTGCGAACCAAAAGCATCGCAGGTTCGATTCCCAGTCAGGGCACATGCCTGGGTTGCAGGCCACAGCCCCCAGCAACCACACATTAATGTTTCTCTCTCTCTCTTTCTCCCTCCCTTCCCTCTCTAAAAATAAATAAATAAAATCTTAAAAAAAAATAACCTGGACACTTGATATTATGGAGTTGCTGAATTAACTAACTATGGAGCTAGTTGACTCCTGGACCTTTTATTATATAAGAACATATTTCCTCCTTGGTTTTTTTGGTACTGGAAACTGAAGACATTTTGACTGATACATTCCTCAGCCAGCTCTCCTGGTACCAGTGCCAGATTCCTGAAGGGGCCTGCAGAGCACAGAACAGACACTGAGGGAGTCTGTCGCTGCTGAGGAAATAAAAGAAAACGTTGTGGTGTGGTGACGGCTGCCACTTGCCTACCCAACCACCATTCTCCCTTTCCTCCTTAATCACAGAACTCTGACCTGTAGCTGGGCTTATCGCTGTCTGGAGCAAAAGACGATTTCCCTACCTTCTACGTGGAGAGATGTGGCCGGGTGGCCGAGTGCAGGCCAGCGAGAAGGGCTGACTCGCAGGAGCTGACTCAGCTGGAAGGATCTGCTCCTGTCCTTCTGCCTGTCATCTTGCTTCCCCAGCACGGTTTCTCTGCCTAGAGTTCTAGGCACCATCGGAGGCCACGCGCTGACCTTGAGGATGGAAGCTAGAACGGCCAAGCAGAAAGGGAAGCCTGGGGTCCTGATTGCCGCCACCCCAGTCCCAGTCTTCACCATCTCACAACTGAATTCTTGGAACTGCTTCCTGAAAAGTCTTCCCACTGCCAACGTTGTTAGTTCCTTTACCCATTTTCTAAAAGCATGTTTTATTAATTATGTTATTACAGTTGTCCTTTGCCCGTTTCACTGTGTCTCTACCAGATTACTCCTCCAGCTTCCCCACGTCAACCACCTTCAATGAAAGCATGCCTGAAACTTTTCCTCATTTTTCCACTCTAAGCTTTCCCATTACTCTGCTCAACTTGGAGTCTCTACCAAGAGCAAATGAAGGTCTCTGACTCTGGCTGTAGCAAACTGAGCATGGCCTCTGTTCTCATTTCTGGTGGTCTTTGTTTCCACAGAATGAATAATCGATGGCGGGAAAAGACATGCTTTTTCTAGTGTGTTTTCTAACCTGGTGGGATGTAAGCCTAGAGCTGCAGGCAGCGTCCTGGCGACTAAGTAGGGAGAGCCTAAGAGCAACAGCAGCATGGGGACGAGCAGGGCAGGACATGGAAACAGGCCGAACAAGGCCTGAGGGTGCTGCCTGAGACCCCAGCTGTGGCTGAAGTCAGCTACTTCCGGGCTTTGCAGTTTCATGAGCCAGTGAATTCCTGCCTTGCATTTGCTAATTTGAGTTTCCGTGGCTTGCAACACGAGTCACGAGCATTTAAGTCTTCTCTGAACCCCTCTCACCCTCTTAGAATAAGTGACCAGGGCCATGTCCACAGTCTGGAGGAGACGGAGGACTGGAAAACCCTGATGCTCTGGTCACTGATGGCAATTTGAACGCTGGCTTAGAAAAGGCCAGCGGGCCCTGCACAGTCTGCTGTGCTGTCCCAAAACCAGGCCCCAGGATTACAGCTTCACATTCGCAAGCTCAGCTACTGCCCTCCAAAGCAAAGCAGGACTTACTGGAATGGCTGGATCGGGGGCGGGGCGGGGGGGGGGGTGGTGGTTCTGTCTTTGGCCACATGCCATATTAAAACCCTCCTCACAGAGCTGTAGGCCCTTGTATTGAGCCCTGGTTTACAACCACACTGCCCACCTCTGTGTAAATTCCCCTCCTGGTCAGGGGGTACTCAGCTCAACCCGGAAAGATTTTCTGAATTTCAAATCTTGGGAGTTTTATTTCCTTCCCTACCAAAAGGCCTTGGGATCGTATACAAATTAGTCCATTCCCTTTCCAGGGCTTGGCATACAAGGGTATCTCTAGGAAATGCTCAGTTTTGCTAAAATAACAAAACTTCCCCATCTCCAGGACAAAAAATGTGCACTTATATTTGTATTCTAGAAGTCCTTCCTTCTTTCCTTCCAAGGCTTTGCTTGTGTTTGCTCTGTAAGTCTGATTTCTTCAGGAGTTGATTTACTTGAGGGCAACAAGTGTTCTATCTCTATAAAAGAAGCCATTTATTTCTTTCTTCTTTTTTAAAAAAATTATTTATTCATTTATTTATTTGAGAAGGGAAGGGGAGGAGAAAAGAGAGGGAGAGAAACATCAATTGGCTGCCTCTCACATGGGCCCCAACCTAGGACCTGGCCTGCAACTCAGGCATGTGCCCTGACCTGGAATTGAACCAGTGACCTTTAGGAGATGACGCCCAACCAACTGAGCAAGAAGCCATTTCTTCAATGGCTCTGCAGAATATAAAAAAATCTGCTCTTAGATGACTTTATATATTCAGAGAAGCAGTTCTGTGGCTTAAGAAATGTAAAATTAAAAAAAAATCTCTTATTTCCCAGAACCCCACCCTGTGAACAGTTCTGCTTGTCTAGTCAGTCTCGGTTTCCAAATCCCAGCTTCAAAACTCCGCACATGCTGTCTTGAAGTTTACCCTTTCCACTCCCATTTTTGGAGCCTTATAGTCCAAATCACACTACTGGTTATACAGTCATCTGTTCTCTCGTTTTTTCAAAAATTAGCCTTTTCCCTTAACTAGTATACTAATACATTGAGGGCAGAAACTGTAATTCCCTGTATATTCTTTAGCACTTAGCATTCAATATACAACTGGTAAGTGATTGAATGGATAATCAAATGCCTTTTGTAACAAATGGAATTACAATACTTGAATTTTTATAAAAGTTCTTACAATATAAGAGATTGGATCTTTTTGAAGTTTATAAAGATCATTGTAAATATTATTACTTTAATTTTAAAATACTTTTTACCACATACATTTTAAAAACTAGATTTTATTTTTAACAATTAGAAAAAATATTCTTTTACACATTTCTAGATAAGTGTCTGGAACTTTACATTTAATATTTAAAAAGGTTTTTACCTGGCTGGCGTAGCTCAGTGGATTGAGCTCGGGCTGCAAACCAAAAGCATTGCAGGTTCGATTCCCAGTCACGGTACATGCCTGGGTTGCAGGCCATGACCCCCAGCAACCGCACATTGATGTTTCTCTCTTTCTCCCTCCCTTCCCTCTCTAAAAATAAGTAAATAAGATCTTTAAAAAAAATGGTGATGAAAATAAAATAAAGTAAAATAAAATGAAATAAAAAAAAGGTTTTTAATTCTCCACGCAAAACTTTAAAGTCGTGCTACCTTTACCCCCCAAATTGTAAAGCTACTTATTTCCTTCCTCTTTATCTTTCCAATAAAATACATATGTATCAAAAGTACATTTTTAAAAAGTAATTTCAACTTGTCAAAAAGTCAAATGATTTAAAATTTAGCTTAATTTAATGTTTTCTGTTGCTATAAAGGTGAAAGTACAGTTTGACACTGTAAGTTTAAAAAGAGGCTTTTTTGTGTGTGTCACGTAAACTTCCCTTCCTCAAAGGTCTCCCGCCTTCGGAACCTTCGGAAACAGATCCTCTCGAACTGTTCGAGGGGAAACCTGGCGGAGGGTGGGACGTCTCTGAACTCTGGGACTTCCCCTTCGCCCGGTGGTTCCCTTTAAAAAGCTGACGCAAGAGGGGGCGGGGCGCTGCGCGGTACGGCGCTGCGCCTGCACGTCTCCTCGTAGTTGACGTCACCGCGCCGGCGCCGGCTGACGGCACAGACGCCGCCGCCGTGGTCGCCAAAGCCGTTGACTATCCCGGGCTGTGGTCGCTGTTCTTGCTGCCGCTCCTGCTGCTGCCTCTGCCGCCCCCGCTGCCTCTGCCACCCCTGCCGCCTCTGCCACCCCTGCCGCCTCTCCCGCCCCCGCTGCCTCTGCCGCTCCCGCTGCCTCTGCCGCCATGGCTCAGTACAAGGGCGCCGCGAGCGAGGCGGGCCGCGCCATGCACCTGATGAAGAAGCGGGAGAAGCAGCGCGAGCAAATGGAGCAGATGAAGCAGCGCATCGCCGAGGAGAACATCGTGAAATCCAACATCGACAAGAAGTTCTCTGCGCACTACGATGCTGTGGAGGCGGAGCTCAAGTCCAGCACCGTGGGACTTGTGACCCTGAATGACATGAAGGCCAAGCAGGAGGCCCTGGTGAAGGAACGGGAGAAGCAGCTGGCCAAGAAGGAGCAGTCGAAGGAGCTGCAGCTGCAGCTGGAGAAGCTGCGGGAGAAGGAGCGCAAGAAGGAGGCCAAGCGGAAGATCTCTTGCCTGTCCTTCGCTGTGGACGCAGAGGAGGAGGAGGAGGGCGAGGAGCAGGACGAGGTGGCCATGCTTGAGGAGGAGCTGGAAAGGGAAGAGGTCCTCACGAAGAAGAGGAAACTGGGGAAGAATCCGGATGTGGATACCAGCTTTTTGCCTGACCGCGACCGCGAGGAGGAGGAGAATCGGCTGCGGGAAGAGCTGCGGCAGGAGTGGGAGGCCAAGCAGGAGAAGATCAAGAGCGAGGAGATTGAAATCACCTTCAGTTACTGGGATGGCTCCGGGCACCGGCGGACGGTCAAGATGAAAAAAGGCAACACCATGCAGCAGTTCCTGCAGAAGGCGCTGGAGATCCTGCGCAGAGACTTCAGCGAGCTCAGGTCGGCCGGGGTGGAGCAGCTCATGTACATCAAGGAGGACCTGATCATACCCCACCACCACAGCTTCTACGATTTCATCGTCACCAAGGCCCGAGGCAAGAGCGGGCCCCTCTTCAATTTCGACGTTCACGATGACGTGCGGCTGCTCAGTGACGCCACGGTGGAGAAGGACGAGTCGCACGCGGGCAAGGTGGTGCTAAGGAGCTGGTACGAGAAGAACAAGCACATCTTCCCCGCCAGCCGCTGGGAACCCTATGACCCCGAGAAGAAGTGGGACAAGTACACGATCCGGTGAATGCAGAGGTGGAGCGGGCTCACTTCCCCGGGTCCCCCCAGACTCCCCACTGCCCGGGTCTGCGGGACTCCAGGTGCATGGTCTCCCCGATCCTGTGACGTGACTGACCATCCCCTGCCCTTGATGCTGTCATTTGCTGCTGTCTTTACTGCTTTTTCTTTTATGATAAAGAAATGCACATGTTAGTCAGAGCACTGTGCTTTATTTAAAAAAACATTTTTGAGATAAAATTGACATAACAAAATTCACCATTTTGGCCATTTGCAAGTGTACAATTCAGGGAATTTAGTACATTGACAATGTTGTGCAGTCATCACCTCTATCTAGTTTCTGAGTATTTCTCACACCCCATAAGGAGACCCTGTGCCCATTAGCAGCCTCTCCCCCAGCCCCTGGCATCCCTAGCCTATTTTCTGTCTATGGATTTGCCTATTCTGGAAGTTTCCCATAAATGAAATCATACAATTAAAAAAAAAAAAGCTGCAGTGAGAGAACCAGGTATCACTTTCCCAAGTAGTTTTCAATAGGTTTATTCACTCATATACATATATATTCCTGAATCCACATACAATACAAAGTTATAAATCAGAGACTTGTAAGATAAAGATTTAAATCCCTTGCTGACTTTAATAACATGTGAAACAAACTCTTACAAAAGATCTGGTATGTGAGACTGCTTTTCTATTTCTTCATCGCCTAATAAGCACTAAGAAGCAATTTGCATCAATCCACCACCTACTCCTTGGCATCCCCAATTCCTCCAGCAGTTATTGCGAAGGTGGCTTCGTTTTCAGGCATGTCAGGGCTAACAGAATGCAAGGGAACAGAAGTTTATAAAAAGCTCTACTTCTATAAATACTATATTCATGTTAACAGACATCACACTCCTATCTTTGTGAGTCTCCAGAGACATCTCAGAGTTGGTACAGCTAAATGTGGACTACAGAATTTACCTACAAGTATTATCAACCCACACAAACATTTATGGAACAAGTTTTTATGTGTAAGGTTCTGAATGTCAAGAAAAGTTACCCCAAACTTGGAAATAGGCGAAAGGGATAACGGAGCGTGCTTTCAGTGTGTCAGGATTTTGCAGCAGACTCCCAGGGGCTTATCTGATGCTAAAGGGCTGTGCACCTTTTACTGCCCAGGCCAGCGCGGGGGAAACACACTGACTAGCACGTCTTTCCCGGTTACCCGGTTCTGTGAGGACTCTGTGCTTTTCATTGTCTGGGCCATCTTATAACTCTGAGTTGTAGAAAACTATGAGTAATACAATTATTCTTGTCCACAGAAATGTAATTGTGTGGAGGCGTGTAATCGATTGTTGTTCTATAGATACTGTGACCTATTTTTTATCAATTTATAATTCATCTCAGCGTTCCTTATCTGATTACATATGTGTGTGGTAATTTGATTTTTTCTTTTGATCTGGTTATAAAATCTTATTAGTTGCTGCATTAATTAGTTGAATAAACTGACATTTTATATTTGTATATAATTCATGCTTATATGCTCTTTAAAATTTATCTTTTAATTTATTCTAAAACTCTGTTGGGTAGAGTTGATTTGTAGAAAACTAAGAGCAGTGCAGATGACCCTTGTCTGAGGGCCATGCAGACGATTCCAGGCTATAGCAATGGAAATGAACTGAATTTCATTGTTTAGAAAGGCAACTGATTTCTCTCTAGTAGAAAAAAACTTCACATGTTACAATTCATTGCCTGATATTAACCAATTTTCAATTTACTAGCAAATTTATTTTCGCATTCATTTGACTACATAACTCTCAAATTACTCTTTGAATCAGTGGTTTCCTCATTAATTAGGGAGCTGAATAAAATCTTTGACACATTCATTTTATATTTATTTGCAAGAAGTCACGTTTTTAACTTTTTGGAAATCAGACTAGCATGTACTAGGCCCTATAGATTTTACAAAAATGAGACAGGCATTACTCTCAAGAAGTCTAACAGGTGAGCTATGACATGTGGTATATATGCAAATTAAGCTGTTTCATAAAGTCAGTATATATGTTACAGAGCTCTAAAGAAAGGGGAGTGGGGAGGAGTGGATGTGGGAGAGGAGGGGAGGGCAGGGCAGGAGAGAGTAATGGGGGAAAATGGGGACACCTATAATTGAACAACAATAAAAATTTTTTTAAATAAAGAAAGGAGACATTATGCCAGGTAGGTTGATTAGGAAAGGCTTCATAGATAACATCTGAAGGGTCTTTGAGGCAGAAATGGGAGTAATCCAGGTAGAGGTAATAGCATTAAAAAAACGGGAATAGAAAGCTGCTTTTGTGTATAAGAAAGAGAGGAAGAATAAGAGGTTATGTTTAGATACATTTCATTTAAGGTATTTTGGGATATTTATGTATGAGTTCTGCCAGCACTTGGAAATGAATAAAACTTGAGTAAACGGTTAGACTGGAAATAGAAATCTGAAAATCACTGATCATGAAAGAGATTACTGCCACTTTGTGCTATTATTATATCCAGGTAATGGTGACTATAGTACTGTTAATAGCCTACTTTATTAAGTAGTTACTCTTTACTATGTGTCAGGATCCCTTATTTCATTTAAACTTTACGATAACCCTGCTGGGTATGTATTATTACCCACATTTTACAAATGAGAAGATGGATGTTCAGACAAATAATTTGCCCAAAGTCACATTGCTAGTAAGTGGAAATGCCAGGATTGGAGCCTAAGGTGACGACTCCAGAAGCTTTGATTCCAAAGCTCATGTTCTAAACTACTAGGCATACTGCTTTTCAAAGTTGGGTGTTTTTTAAAAATTTCGTTTGTTTTGTTGGGAGGGAGCAGGTCAGGCAGTAAACTTTGAGCTCCCTACTGATAAGGTTACTCGCCTTGGGAAACAGCAGAGAGGTCTCCCCTGAGGGTGGCTCAGAACACAGGCTGCAGGTAAGGTAGGTCTTGCAGACTAAAACTGTAGTTGAGTAGGAAGCCCTGAATGCAATTTGAAAATAACCTTTTAGACTTGTTGGAAAATACTCAGTTGGCCTCTTACAAATGTAAGAGGTAGGAAGAAAAGCAGTTGAGAAAGAGGGAAGCCAAGCAAGGTACCTGCAAAGTTGAACCAGGCTTTTTGTTTGTTTTGTTCTAGAAACAATAAAAAACAATTACTTCAGATACCTGACAATTTGTATGTCTTTTTTATTATTTTTGCAATTATTTAAAATGTGTTCTTCCTCTGAATTCAGTAGTGTTCTTTGCTTTTAATGTCCACTGATCACAGATATGCTAAGTGGAATAAAATAAATGGGGTTTTTATTCACTTGAGTTTTAAAAGGAGAAAAATATACACTTGAGAGCCAACTATAGCTAAATAACAGAAGCAGTTACTATGGTGAGTTCTAGGAAGTGGGCTTGGTCCCTTTTGTAGCCATTCCTGTATACCTGGGAACTCTTCTAAGAACCCCTTTCTACTCAGTTCTTGGGGAATTGTTTGTTTAATAAGAAATGTCTTTCTTTTACATGTGTGTAAGGTAGTACTTGAAGACATGGGGGGTAACTATAGTAGACTAGCTATGACTGCCCTAAATAGATCATCCCACATAAACTAAGAAATGGTGTAATGATTACAAGTGCAGATCTTTGATTCAGACAGAATAGTTTCTAATGTTATTCCGTCCCTTATTTGTTTTGTGGTTGAGACAAGTCCATTCTTTTACTCATTAAGGAAGATCTTTATTGAGCACCCGCTGTATCCCTGTTCTGCACACTTGAGGTCTATAAATGAAAAATAGAAGGACAGAAAAATAGACAAACACTCTTGCCCTTGTGAAACTTACATTGGGGGGAAGGAGAGACGGACAATACATAATGGACATAATACATATATTATGCGATATGTTAGAAAATGGTGTGTTTTAAGGAAAGAAAAAGTAGAGCTAGGTAAAGGAGATTGGAAGTATGGAGGCTGGGAGGAGGGTAGTTGCAATTTTAAATATGGAGATAACAATAGGCATTGTTGAACAGGTAGCATTTGATCAAAGACTTGAAGGAGGTGAAGGACATGACCAGAAAGAGGGCAGTGTGGGAAAAGATCATTCCAGGCAAGGAGAACAGTGAGCACGAATGCCCTAAGGTGGGAGTGTGCCTGACGTGCACAGAACATCAAGGTGCCCACTCAGGCGGCAGCATGGGGAGCAACGGGGAGGGCAGGAAGAATAGGAGTGAGGCCGTTCATGAAGTGCTCTGTAAACCGCTGCAGATACTTGGGCTTTGATTCTGAGTTAAGATGAGTCATTGGAGGATTTGAAGCAGAGAATAGATATGATCTGACTTAGTTTTACAAAGGATTGCTCTCGCTTCTATGTTTTAAAATAGACTTTAGAGGAGCAATGGTTAAGTAACTGCTGGGGGCCTTGGTTTCCTCATGGGTAAAATGGGGATAATGACCTCTGTCTCTTAGGGTTGTTACAAATAGTAATATATATATATAAAGCACTTGGTGTAAAGCCTAGCACATAGTAGCCACTCAGTTAGTGTTAGCTATCACTATTAGCAACATCTCTTCCAAAAAGTTCTAAGTCAAGGAGAAGTCTTTGTGAGAAATTTTTAGGGACCAGAAGGAAAAGAGTATGTGCTACAAGACTAGAAGCTTAGAAAACTGAGTTTTGACATTTTAAGCTCTGATCTAGTTTTGCTGTTTTCATTCAAATTTATGAATATTTGATATAACTAATCTCTATGATAGCTTTAATTATCCTTCACTGAATCTGCAGAACCCTAGTATCCTCTAAGGACTGTATGAAATGAAAGAGTTGTTTGTTCCTGCATGGTTTGGAGGCCTTAATGAAATAGACAAATGATTGAACAGGAAGGTCCATTCATTTATTAATTTGAGAAATAGTTACTGAGTTCCTACTATGTGCCAAGTACCTTGCTAGGTACTGGGGACATGAAAGAACCAAACCCCGTCTCTGTTGTGAGACAGATACACACGTAATCAGCTGATTACAATTCAGAGCGAAAAATGGTAGGAAAGTTCTAAGCACAGCAATCCATCCAAGATATAGATGAAGAAATTTTAGTAAAAAACATGAAAAAATTCTATTATCTATTTAACAAAAAACATTTGTAGCAAATTTCTAGAGATTGCTGATGCTTCGTAAAACATAGCATTTGAATATTATAGTCTTCCACAAGGCAG